TCGCCTCCCAAAGTGCTAGGATTACAGCGGTGAGCCACCGCGCCGGCCTGTGATATTTTGATACAAGCATAAAATGTGTAATAATTAAATCAGAGTAATTAAAATATCCAACACCTCAGCCATTTATAGCTTCTCTGTTAGGAATATTCTTATTTTACTCTTTCCTTATTTTAAAATAGACAATAAATTATTGTTAACTATAGTTTCCCTATTGTGCTATTGAACACTAGCTCTTTTTTCCTTCTATCTAACTTTATTTTTGTACGTATCACCATCCTCACTTTCCCTCCCTCCCCAGTACCCTTACCACCCTCTGGTAATCACCATTCTATTCTCTTATTTTCATGAGTTCAATTTTTTTGTAACTTCCACATATGAGTAAGAATGTGAAATATTTGTCTTTCTGTGCCTGGCTTATTTCACTTAACATAATGTCCATCCACATTGTTGTAAATGACAGGATTTCACTCCTTTTATGGCTTAATAATATTCCACACACATCACACTCATCACATATACATATAAATACACATACCACATATATATATGTACATTATATATATACACCACATTTTCTTTATCCATTTTATCCATTGATGAACACTTAGGTTTATTCCATATCTTGGCTATTGTTAATAGTGCTGCAAAAAACATGGGAGTGTAGGCATATCTTATATATATCGGTTTCCTTCCTTCCTTCCTTCCTTCCTTCCTTCCTTCTTCCTTCTTCCTTCCTTCCTTCCTCCTCCTTCCTTCCATCCTTCCTTCCTCCTTCTTCCTTCCTTCCTTCTCCTTCTCCTTCCTTCCTTCCTTCTCCTCCTTCCTTCCTTCCTTCCTTCCTCCTCCTTCCTTCCTTCCTTCCGTTTATTTATTTATTTTTCTGCACATATCCTTGGTATCCTTTCTTTTAAATATATACCCAACAGTGGAATTGCTGGATCATATGGTAGTTTATTTTAGTATTTTGAGGAACCTCCATACTATTCTCCATAGGGCCTGTAGATTCCAACTAACAGTGTATGAGCATATTCTGACCAACATTCATTATTTCCTGTCTTTTCGATAAGAGCCATTTTAGCTAGGTAAGATGATATCTCATTGTAGTGTTGATTTGCATTTCTATGATGATTAATGATGTTGAGCATTTTTTTCAAATACCTATTGGCCATTTGTATGTCTTCTTCTGAGAAATGTCTATTCAGATCGTTTGCCCATTTTTTTTTCTTTTTTTTGATTTCATGTCTAAGCTTAGTCATTTTTTTAAATTTAAAAAATATTAGAAGGTACATGTGTTTTTTCTTACGTCGGTGATTTGTATCATGCTGAAGTCAGGGCTTTCATCACTAGAATAATGTACATTGTACCCAATAGGTAGATTTTTATCCCTTACCTCCTCCTATTCTCCTCCCTTCTTAGTTTCCAGTGTCCATTACACCTCTTTATGACCATATATATCCCCGGTTTTAGCTCCTGCTTACAAGTGAGGACATGTGGTATTTGTTTTTGCATTCCTGAGACACTTCACTTGGGCACACCAAGTCTACTGCCTATGAGACCAGGGCAGCACCAGGGCTTGCCCAAGAACTGTAATCTTTATAGCCTGACTACCAGGGCCCCAGGCTACATTAGTCAGCTGGTGGTGAATCCAGCTGGGACTTGGGCTCCTTCTATTGGGGCTAAGCATTCCCCTCTGGCTGGGGCTGGTCTAAATGCAGCCTTTGTGGACACTGGCAGAATTCTGCCCTATGTTGTGTCCCGTTGTCACTGAGCAGCACTGAATTCCATTGTGAAGTCCCACACTCACTTCACCCTCCCTCCCCCAAGTACACAGATTCTTTCTTTATGCTGGACTTCCTGGGGTTGGGGAAGTGTAGTGTAGACAATGCAAATCTAAATTCTACCCTGTTCAATACTCGCTTCTTTGTTATGTTAAAACTAGGTACTGTGGTCACTCACCTGCTTTTTTGGTTATTATTAATGTGCTTTCTTGTGTGGATAGATGTTCAATTTGGTGTTCCTGCAAGGGGACGATTGCTGGAAGGTTCTATTTGGCCATCTTACTCCATTTCCTCCCCTAAACAATTACATTTTTGTTTTTAGAAGTTCCTGAAAAGTGTTTAATCTACATTTCAAATCTGCTATGATATTTTTGGTGGTCTCTTTTTACTTGTTCCTTGTGATTCTATACTTTCTCTCTCTAAGTGTTTCACATATATCTCTTCTCTGTTCTGTACCTGCCTTTTCTACTATACTATCTCTAGTCCTGAGGGAACTCTCATGTGTTGTGGCTTGCGTTCTTACTTGCGTGGGGATTTTTGACTAAATTTATTGCTTGATTTTATTTTGGGGAAAGCTTTCCTCTAGAAAGAATTTGCTGTTACTTCTTCTGCCACTGACTGACTTAGGGCACTTCAGCCTTACTTGAGGCTCTGAGCTTAACATGGTTGTTCTGGGCTCACCTACCTTGTTATTAGGTCAGTACTCAGTGTCCTGATTAAAGCTCTTGGAGGCATCGGCCCTCAGAACAGCCCTGCTGCCTGTGTGCTTCTACTCACCACTCAACACTCACCACTCCCAGCTCAGGCCCTAGCTTGCTTTGCAGCAATGGGGAAGGAGGTTGAAAGGAGGATGTCCTTGGAAACCTCTCTACTTCTTGCATGCCAAGAATTCAACAAATATATTTTGGCCATGGATGTAGTTTTACAGCATGAGTTTCTCAAAGCATCTAGTCTACCATAATGCTTTCAGCAGAAATGAGGTCTCAAAAATTATTTAACTAATCTACATTTCTTTGTTTTTGAAATCCCTTCAGACTGTGTTCTCAATGCTGAAGCCATTTTTATCCAAGTGACCCATTTCATTGTGTTGCTTCCTGTATTAAAATTTAGTAAACAATTAAAATGGCAAAGCAGGGATTTACTTTACATATTTTTATTTTCTGTGTTCAGAAAAATACATAGAGGCCTAGAGATAATAATTCTAATTTCTTGTGTATGTCACTAGTCCCTTATATCTTTACAACAAATGAGATTCTTAAGCATTTATTATATGTAACACATAACAAATTTTTGTTGTGTGTTATGTAACATCCTGAATCTTTTTGGATCGTTTTGGAGTAGGTTACCATGAAGACCTTTTGTCATCTTTGCCTTTCTTTCCATGGGAAAGTATGTAGATGTTTTTCAAGTGAACAGGTTTCTATCTGTTGCCAGCCCTGTATCAATGCTGTAATTAGGAAAGGCTTTTTATTCTTCTTGAACAGAGTAAGAAGCTGCTGCAAATGTATGCTACTAACAAGTGCTTAAAAATACAGCTAATTATAATAAATTGGTCAGGAACTGCAGAGCTTGCCAGGTCTTTAATCGTGAGGCTTTATGACTGGAATAGAGACTTTCTCAAATGAACTTTTTTTTTTTCCTGGTATGACTTATTTTATAATAAAATGTCATGGGGTCATTTTGTTTTCTGTGAGTTACGTATTTAATGAAAGCTTGTCTTCTTCAAGTTACAAGATTTGAAAATGTAAGAATGATAAACTGGGAGATTTGAAAAAACTAATTAAAGACTAGTTATTTGTTTAAAGTAGTGTTTGGCATTTGGGCTAAATATAATGAAATTATTTTTTGGCTAAGCTTTAAGTAGACAGAACAGAAGAACTTAACTAATGTTTGACTTAATCTCTAGAGATAAAATGTTTCAAAATTGTTTTTACGCTAGAAATATTGCAAGAAAATTTGAGTTGATAGGCAGAGTATATTTGGCTAGCATACTCCATAGCATTTTGCATATATTGAATGTGCTTCGTAAGTATTAATATAAAAAACAGATGTGTCCAGTTTATCATTATTTATATTTGTCATAATGTAAAAGTTGGCAAGACAGGCGTTCTGTGTCACGTAATTATTTGTTGTATAGGGAGACCAAAGCAAGGTATATAACACTCTTTAGAGAGATAGAGAGCCAAAGAAAAGATATAATATTTAAGGAGTTTGGGCTTTCAATGGAGGCTCTTTTAATATTTATGAATACAGTCATTAAACAGCTACTCTGAATGCTTCATGATTTCTATCTTGACCTTGTTATTTTGCCTGCTTTTAATTTGCCTTGTGAGAAAAATAAATGTCACTTTAAGTAACAACAAAAAAGTAAAGTGCAAAATGGTTTGTCTCTTTGTGTAAAAGTATTAGTAAGTGCACATCCTGATTTTAAAATTTGTTGTTTTATTTTGTGAAAAATGTTTTGTAAGAGCATGCTCTTCTTGAAAATAGAAAAATATTAAGCATTTGGTAAATTATCTTAAAGATCTAGTATTTTCCATAATGTAAAATAAAATGTGCTTTCTTTTAAAGTATGAATTCAGATTAATTTATGCTATGCAAACCCTTTCAAATTTAAGACAATAAGATTTTATAGTGTCATGATACTTTTTTCTTCCTATCTGTACTGCTTTAATTTAATTTTGTATTCTCACTTTGTAAGTTTAATTGCAGTCTTGTCTTGGGTTTAAATAAATATTTAGTGATTTCACCAAATAGATGAAGATTATCTTTTAAAAGTCAGTATGAAAGTGAATTTAAAGATTTCGAAAAGTTACATGTAACCACAGGGGCAAGGACAAGAATATCTCTAGAGTTTAATTAAATATAATAACATATTACTATTTAAAATTATCATTAAGGAGATTAAAGTTTAAAACAATATTTGAAAGTAATTGTAATTCAGTCAGTATCCTACTTAGTATATTATTTGGTATCACAACCAGTATTGTCAGTCTCTCTTATTTTCAAGCATAGTATTTTAAATGCTAGTTAATGAGTTAAAATTCCAGGCTTAGTTCTCTCCTTGTGTTTGAATAAAATTCCTAAAACTGAAAGGTTTTGTTTTGGTTGTTGTTGTTGTTGTTGTTCTTTTCTTAATATAAACTTTGAACTTTCCATGACAAAAATAATGGTTGGAAAATTTGGGCAATTTAATCATTTCTATTTCCTTTCATTTAACAGCAAGAAATTCTTTATCATTATCCAATGTCTGAAGCTTCTCAGAAACTTAAAAGCGTGAGAGGAATTTTTCTCACACTCTGTGACATGCTAGAAAATGTAACTGGGACACAAGTTACTAGGTAATAATTTTCATTTTGCTTTAACTCTGTTCTTTTAAATCCTTTTCAATTATGGATATCCACCCTGACTTTGAAGTGCAAAAGTTAAAAGTTGGGAGGAGGGGGCTCAAAGCTTTTAATTTGTTTTTGTTTTTTTCATAAAATAAATCTAAGAATTATATATATATATATGTATATATATTTACTTATAAACATATTTTCTTTCTTAATATTTCAACAATTTTAGAGTCTCCAAAGAAATTTTATCTCAAATTTTAAGAGCTCCCATAAATACTTATAAAATATCAAGTTGAGTTTTCAAGCTTTAACTCTTCCCATCTTCTGGTAAAAATGACACGACACTTCTAGGATTTTAAAAGATATAAGATCTGTAAGATAACAGAAAAATTTCCTTAATTAACTGGGTTAAAAGTCATGTTTAGCTCTAACTGTTAATATAGTGTATATAGAAAATATTGATTCATTTTCAAGACAAGAGTACCTGGGGTTCCATTTAGTATATAGATTTACATTCATAAAGGAATATTACAGGCCTCTTTTTATTTTTTAACAGCTTTGCTAGATATATAGTTCATAAACAATACAACCTAAATTCACCCATTTAAAGTGTGCATGTTAATGGTTTTTAATATATTCACAGATATGTGCAACCATCATCAAAATCAATTTTAAAACATTTTTCTCACCTCAAATAGAAATCCTGTACCCTTTAGCTATCAACCCAGCCCAAGCCCCAGGCAGCTACTAATCTATTTTCTATCCCTATAGATTCCCTGTTCCGGATATTTCATATAAATAGAATCATGTAATATATGGCTATTCGTCACTGGCTTCTTTCATTTAACATAATATTTTCATGGTTCATGCCCCCTTGTAATGTTATTAGAGAAAATGTTTCTCTTCAAATGTGGATTCGCTTTTTTTGCCTTTTTTTTACTGTAAAGGATAAATGTTATTTAATATTTAGATCTTGTTACTACTGATATGAGTCAAACATGTAGGAAGTAGTAAATACAGTTAGAAAAACTTTTTTGAGGAAGAAATAAATATGAAAATTATTATTTTAGGAGTTCCTTAGCAATGTATATATCTTTTGTTGCATATATACCTTTTAAATAATAGTAATATAGTATACTATTAAAAAGTCTGATATTATCTAAAAGTATATGATTTTTAAACTTTACTAAGACAAAAAGTGTGTTCTTTTTGAAAAAAAGTCTGTTTAATAAATCACATTTAAAATTTCACATACTTTATATTTCTGTAGTTCACTATTGTGTCTCTTTTTAGAGCATTTAATTTTTTTCAACTTCATTAAAGTATAATTGAAGTACAGTAAATTGTACATAACTAAAATATACAATTTGATCGGTTTTCACATAGGTATATGCCCTAAAGCCATCACTGCAATGAATATATTTATTGCCCTAAAAGTTTCCTTGAGAACACATTTAAATCTGATTTATGTTTTAGTTACTCATTTAAATATTTATGTCATGTATTGAATTGTCCTCTTCTGACTTGAAACCATACCATCTTTTCTTTGTAATCTCTTTAGCAAATCATGTTCATAGATAGGCAGTCACAAAACATTTGTTAAATTAGCCAACTGAGTTGGATGCTTTGTTTAAAAAAGAAATTATATATAGTCACTTAGCAAAAGAATTTCAAGGTGGTTTTTTTTGTTTGTTTGTTTGTTTTTGTTTTTTTTTAAGAGATAGGATCTGGCCCTGTTGCCCAGGCTGGAGTGCAGTGCAGTGGCACAATCATAGCTCACTGTTACCTCAAATTCTTGGGCTCAAATGACTCTTCCTCCTCAACCTCCTGAGTAGCTAGGACTACAGGCACACACCACCAGGCTCAGCTAATTTTTTTTCCCATTTTTTGTAGAGACAGGATTTTACAGTGTTGCCCAGGCTCGTCTTAAACTCTTGGCCTCAAGCAGTCCTCCGACCTTAGCCTCCCAAAGTGCTGTGAGCCACTGTGCCTGGTCTACATGTATTTCTCTATAATGGGTCTACTTTTATTTGGCTGGGATTTTTTAGATTGTGTTTGTTTTTTTAATATTTTAGAATATATTTTAATTGTGCAGTTCCTTGCCTTTTCTGTGTGGCAGTTAGGTATATGAAAAGAAATTAGCTTATTGAGTATTCAGTTCTTAATCATATTACATGCAATCTTTTATGAATGATTTTTATAAATTTATGACATTTCAATATATTCTAATCTTATTTTGAATTTATTTTTCTTAGCTCATCCCTCCTTTTAAATGGGAAGGAAGTTCATGTGGCTTATTGGAAAGAATCTGACAAGTTATTATTAATTGGCCTGCCTGCTGAAGAGTAAGCTGATTTTTGTAAGCTTAAATCATTTCTAAAATAATGTTAACAAAGTCTGTTTCATTAAAATTATAACATTTTGGTCAAAAGGCAAACTCCTTAACTTTTTATAATTCAAAGGTCTGTTGCACTAGTGAAATAGTTACCTTTGTTTATTGTTATGAATAATTCAGAAAGGTGTCACCAAGGCCCAGCTGGACCAATTATTAAAGGTAGGGGCTGTCGATACACTTTCCTTTTTTGTAGAAAGTACAGAGGTGGCTGAGAGATGAACTTGTCATTTGCTTAAACTTTTGGCAATACTGTGATTTGGATTTTGCATCTTTACAGTTTTTTTGTTTTTTGTTTTTTTTTTTACTGTTGGAGATTTTGGAGAATTAAGGGTCAGCAGAAGTGTATTTTGTCCTGATGTTGAGCACTTCTGACAAAATAAGGAATATGTAATCCTAAAGAGACTCCTCTAATGGTACATCTTATATTATCATGGTCTCCCACTTAACTTATTTGCAAATATTTTGAAATATATCTTATTTTAATCATTGAAGGTAAAAGCAGTATTGTCATTTTTAAAGAACTAACCTTGAGCCCAGGAACTATAGTAGGTACTTTACATTCATTTAAGCTCATTTAATCTTAAAAATCAGCTCCAGATGTACTTAATGATTACTGGCTCCATTTTACAGATAAGGAAAGTAAAACCAAAAGAGGGTTAAATAACTTGCCAAAAGATCACATAATCAGCAGGAGGCAGAACTGGAAATTGAATGAGGGTCCGTCTGAATTCTTTCTACTACATTGCTTCCCTAATGTCATAGGACATTAAAAACTAGGGAGAAATAGAGTATAAATATGGAGAATGATCCCAAGGAGATGGATTTAACTACTATTAGAATAGTCTTCTGTCCTAGTTCATTGAGTTTTAATACTTGTAATGTAGACTCTTCTAACTTTAAAAAGTATTCAGGTAACTTTTATTTTAAACTATTAGATATACTTTAGTTTTCCTCTTTGGTCCATAGAACAATGGCATATGGTCTACTGAATCATAGTCAAATATCAAAATAAATACTATAGCATGTGACTGACACAACTTCAGAGAATACCAGTTGAGAATAATGTTCTCTTGGTGTTGCTTTAAGCTTCCTAAGAGAGAAAATGGTAGACCAGAAAAATGCATTATCTAGGCAATCTGAACACAAATATGACTGTTTTTCTATTACTAATGACTCTGTGTACCAGATTTCTTTCATTATACAACAGTGTATTAGTTATCTATTGCTGTGTAACAAATTATCCCCCAAAATTTAGGGGTAATTTAAATTTAAATAATAAACATTTATTATAATAATTCAGAGGTATTATTGTGGTTCATGAATCCAGGAGCTACTTAGCTAGATGGTTCTGCCTCAGGGTCTCTCATAAGGTTGCAGACCAATGTTGGCCAGGGATACAGTCATCCAAAGGCTTAGCTGGAGCTGGAGAATCTGCTTCCCAGATGGCTTACACACATGGCCACTGTCAGGAAGCCTTAGTTCCTTGCTGTATGGACATCTGCATAGAGCTGCTTGAGTGTCCTCATAACATGTCAGCTGGATTCCCCCAAAACAAGTGATCCAAAAGAGAGAAAGAGGGAATCTGCAAGACCTTTTATGGTTTAGTCTTGGAAGTAATACACTGGCATTTCCATCATATACTATTTGTTAGAAATTAGTTGCTAAGTCCAGCCCACACTCAAGGGGAGAAGAATTAAACTCCATTTCTTGAGGGAAGAGTATCAGAGAATTTATGAACATGTTTTACTACTACAAACAGGAACTCTAAAGGTGGCTATGGTGAAAAATATAAAAATGATTATGTTTTGAAGGTAACTTTAATTTTGGACAGAAAGGTATAATATATTATAAATGTGGGATCCAAATTTATTTATTTATTTAACAGTAATAATTATGTATATATTTATGGGGTACATAGTGATGTTTTGATACATATAATGTACGGTGATCAGATCAAGATAAATATTATGTCTGTCATCTCAAACATTTATCTATTTATTTATATTGGGAACTTTCATTATTCTCTTTCTACCTATTTGAACCTATATAATATATTATTGTTAACTATATTATAACAACTATATATTAACTATAGTTGTCTTACAGTTCTGTAGAACACTGGAACTTATTCCTCCTATCTAGCTGTAATTTTATATCCTTTAACAAACATGAGGGGATAATGGTGCTGTGGCATATACTGTATGATGTATATAGTGTATATATGCATACCCTCTTTAACCAGCCACACAGTAGAAAAATGTGTGTTTTTCTGTATAAAAGAGAATTATAATGAATCCTGCTAGGAGACTGCCCTATACCAATGGGTTGGATTATGTAGAACTAAGGAGTTATTTTGAAAGTATGGATTTACAAGAATTGAAGACCATCCAAAATAAGACAACTTAGGATGTAGTGCAAACTAAAACATTTGTCTTTAAGACTTTTGTAGCAGCCCAAAAGACAAAAGAGAAGAAACAGAAAACACAATGGTAAGATAAAGGTGTTATAGCATAGGCAGTTAGAGAGGGGAAAGGAAAGCCCAACTGAAGAGGGTTCAACCACATTGTGATGGCACCATCCAATTAGTTAGGCAGACAGAGCCAGTTTCCAGGAAAGTTTTATCCTGAAGCTGAAAAAGGACTGTCATTGCTGAGCTCTGGACCAAGGTTGGTGCTGCATGAGGGATTCTCTAGCCAATTTCTCAATCTTTATTACTCAGGACTTGAGGGAGTGTCCTCCCTAAATATTTAATGTCATTCCTATCCTAGAGAACTTGACTTGATATTAGAATTCATTTGAAGATCCCCTTTATCCTCTAACCTGAACCTCATATCTAAAAGAAGCCATAGCCACTTCTTTACCCTTCTCTTAATGTGCACACCAACTACTCTGTTCCAGATTCTTTTCTTTATTCCATCTCGTTTCACATAACTATGAAAGGTAGGTATTATTATTCTCATTTATTCACACTGGTAAATTGAGAGATCATGCACAAGCACCTCTTTAGTGTCAATTTATATGTCTTTGCATTTCTAGCATTGTACATGTGGCTTGTAATTGAATGACAGCCCTGGGATTTTCCCCTCATCTGTCTTAATGCCACAACCTGTGCATTTACCTCTTTACCTCTATGCCTTTTACAAGCATGGTGAGAAAAGTGCTGTCCCACAGAATTTAGGGTGGGGCACATGATCCAGAGACATGTATTTTCAGATGGGAAGATCTTCCTGTAATGCTGCAGCAAATAGCAGAAACCTAACCAGAAATACAATGTGGGGTAGTAGAGAGAATAACTTTGGAGCTAAGAAGATAGACACTCACCGGCAGGCTCTACTCCCTTTGTGGCCTTGCACAGTTACTTAACTTCTTGGATTTCAGTTTATCAGTTGTTATAATGGGAATAATAAGACCTACCTTGTAGAATTCTCATAAGGCTTCAATGAGAAAATGTAAGTTCATTTTTTCTCTCCTTTCTCCTACTTTCTTTTCTTTTTCCAATTCATTTAGGGGTGTATTTTTGTCATAGGAGTTGGAGTTTCAGTTGAGATCTGGGTAATACTGAAAAGTGTCAGGAATTTAGCATTTCTTTCTATGGGCCTAGGTACTACACTAACTGTTTCATACACATTAATTTAATTTAATCCTCAAAATAAACCTGAGAAGGGCTTAGTGATTATTGGCTCCTTTTACAGATGAAGAAATTAAACCCTAGAGAGGGTTAAATAATTTACAGATAAATGGTGTTATGAAAAGTCCCCATTTGATTCATGCTAGAACCACAAATCTAGACCTCAAGGTGATCAACTACTAATGTAGCAAGCAACCATTTTACACAGCTCTACTCACAGTAGACACATATACTTTTCACAGTCCTTAGATAGAAAATGTAAGGATGTTCTGCTGCTTTTAGATATGTGTCATTTGGTTATGTTATAGAATACGTGTATTTTTGCTTTCTTAGAATTCCTCTTCCTCGGCTAAAGAATATGATAAAAGATGTTGCCCGAACCTTAAAATTTATGTATGGTTCTTTAGATAGGTAAGTACTTCTTTGGATTGAATCTCAAGTTTTAAGTATATGATCTTAAATCACCTTTTGCGTTTAATATTATTTTTTGTCTTGCAGATTAGTTGTATGGTGGCACCAACAATGGCTGTCACAGCAGCTTCTTCTTGTCATTGTAGTTTTCATCCTATTCTTCCTCTTCCTCCTCCTCCTCCTCCTCCTTATTTTCTCATCTTTTATTGGCTTTTATTTTACAACTCTAGGCAACTTTTCATTTAATCTATTTCTTTTTTTTTTATCTCATATGTGACTTTAGTGAAATTTCTTTGTGAAAGTGGTATAACCACAACTATATTCTGATTTGATATATTTCTGTAGGGAAAAATGTAAGAGTATTTCTTCATGACAGATACAGGAAAGAGTAAGATTTTAAATAAGTTTTTGTGTTTTTTTCTGCTTATAAAACCATTGTCAAATTCACTATCCTAAAACATGGTGCTTCTTTCTCAGTTAAAATTTTCTAGTAAAATATGTGTGCGCTATTATTAAAAAGACATATAGTAGAGAAAGTATTGAGTAGTTATCATTTGTATCTTTACATATATTTTCTATACAGTATGAATATATATACTCTCTTTTTTATACAAGTGGGTTCATATTATGCATAGTTTTCTACTTCGCACTTTTTTAAGGTAACAGTATAATGTAATGAATCTTTCTTGATCTAAAGGAGGAAATTTGAGGTAACTGTTCAACATTTGAGCACACAAAATTATGGCTGGAAAATAGTTTTGTAAGTGGAATTTTTGTATGTTCTAGTAATTCTGAGGGCTAAAATGATATCTTTGCTTTCAAAGTCTTAAGAATATATTAATATAAAACTCCAAAGACAGTTTATACATTTTACCAAGCCACAGTGGTTATCTGTTTATGTACAGTGGATCTTTGTTGTCATTGTTCTCAATGCATCATAAAATAATTTTTTGTGATTATGTCATCTGGGAAAATTATCTGGTTTGTAGTGTTCTCCTTTAGGGGACCTCTGAGTAGGCACATCCCTCTCAAACCCAATTAATTACCAGCATTTTCCAGTGAGTGAGCTACAAAGGGCTGGACATCCATAAACAGTGCCTTCTTTACCTTTTGCTGATTAGGAAAATTTTAACCAATGAAGAGTAAGGATGTGGTTATAAACTACTTCCTTAAATTTATACTAGAGAAGCAAACTTTGCTATTTTTGCCCTAACTAAAGCTTTCTGTTTCCATAAAACCAGAGATTATCAAAGATTAAATTTCTGACATGAATTTCATACCTGATAAATAATCAATTGGAGTTGCTTTGCACATTCCAGTGGAGTAGGTTAGAGCAGAGGAACTTAATTTCTCTGAATTTCATCTTGAAATTTAGCTTCTATTAATTTGGAAGTATCTTCAAGATGGCAGCAAATTTTTAACTAGTTTCTGCTGGTTCAAGTGAAAATTTGAAGAGCAAACTAAGATAATAAATGTGAAGATCCACTGAGTTCTTAAAACCAAAAAGCAGTGTGTATATAAGATGTTATTAAATAGACATTTTGCAACAATTTTTATAACAGTTTTTTTCTGATTATGAAAGAGATTAAGGGTCCATTGTAAAAAATTATGAAAAGACCAAAAAGTCCAAAGACTAATTATCTTTTTAAAGTTGTGAGCTGGTTAGTTCCCGATGAGCCACAGAAACTAATTGTATAATAAGAGTTTAATATTGTGATCAAATTAAAGATATAACAGTATCTTTTACCATTCCTAAACAATCCATCAGCAAGTCTTAATCATTCTGTCTGTAAGACATATCTCCAATCCATCCATTTCTCTCCATATTCACTGTTGCACTGTCCAGTCACTGCCCTTTCCTGCACCACAGTGGCCTCCTAACTGGTTTCCTTACCTCCATTCTTGCCACTGTAACTATTAATAATTTTCACTCAGCAGTTAGACTGATCTTTCTACATTATTTTCTGCCTCCTACCTCCTTTCTGACCTCAGATCACAATCCACACCTATCCCTCTGCACTGTGCTACAGGCACACTGGCAAAGCTTTTCCCCATTCCTGGGCTTTTGTACTTTTTCCTCTTGCCACATCTTCTTGACAGTGGGACATCAGCTCAAGGCCCTTTCTCAGAGACTCTTTTCCAGTCATTTAATCTAAAATAGTCAGCCAGTCACACCACCCATTCACATCATCCTATTCTCTGTATGGTCGTTTGTATGAGCTCATGTTTTTACTGTTTGTTCATTTGTCCTTCTCCAGTAGAACATGAACTCCATGGGAGCACATTGTCTTTTGTCTTGGCATTTTTACTGCTGTAACTCCAGCAGTGGGCATAGTGCCTGGAGCCCAGTAGGCACTCAAATATTTGTTGTATGAATCAGTGAATATTATTCTGACATGCTAATAATAGTATATGTAACAGTTATTGTATCATTCAGTAAGCTATTCCATTGAATGGTTACAGTCATTGCTGTATTACCTTTATATAGCTAAAACCAAGTATTTAGTTTTTTCTCTCTTTTGTTTAAATTTGAGTTCTTCAATGTTGTGCCTTCAGTAGTAAAGAGGGGAAGAATAACGTATGCCTATTATATACTCACTGAGTACTAGTAATTAAACATAATAAGAACTTATGTTTAATATGTACTAGGTATTTTGCAAGTGAGTTAAATTGTGTTAACCCTATTTTTACAGAGTTGGAAACCAAATTTCATACAGAGGGTAGGTGATTTGCCTGTAATAGCTACCTAGTAAGAACAATGATAAGAGTCAAAGACAGGTCTGTTGTTCTATTACAACATTCAAAATCTCTTTTATATCCCATGCTGCCTAAAAGGTATTTGGAGTTGTAAATGGTTGAAAGATAGAGGTAAAAATCAACTTACCTTTTTTACAAACAGGTTTCTGTTATAGATATGTCGCTCATGTTAGTCTTGTGGTTCTTCCATAGTCCCATCTACTCAATATATTTGAGGGTAGGTTTTAGGGTGAAAATATGGACAGGGTGAATTTCTTAACACACTCCATCAGTAACATTATAGCAGTGATTCTTATTAAGGGGGAGGAGTGAGGAAGAGAGCCTATGTAGTTGGGAAAGATCCAGTCCCCTTAGGAACACTCAAAAAGTGACCACCATTTCCATATGTTGTTCTAACTTATAGCTCTTATTTCTTCAGTGCCTTTTGCCAGGTTGAGAATGTTCCTCGTTTGGATCATTTTTTTAACTTGTTCTTTCAAAGAGCACTTCAACCTGCTACGCTGCGTTCCAATGCCAGTCCCAGTGCTCAACAATATGATGCTTCCAGTGCAGTACTTTTAGACAATCTCCCTGGAGTTCGGTGGCTCACACTTCCACCAGAAATCAAGGTAATCTTAGGTGTTATAAGTAAGAATCAGAACCAGTTCTCTTATTATAATCTTTTATCTTCTTTTTTCTCAGGCTTTTTGTTATTTGGGGGGATTATAAGTAAGAATTAAATAGGCAGTTGGTTGATGAAGTAAAAGGTACAGTGCAGTCAACTTAGAAAGACAAATTATTCTTAATAAATAGAAATTAGCTCTCTCATCTTACTTTAAATTTAATCTTTGTCTAAACTTGTAATACTTTTCAGAAATAATAATTAAATGGTGTGTCTTACTTTAGAATTTTGTGACTTGGATTTCATAATGCAAGGTTTTCAAGTTAGGATTATGTTTCTATATAAATTAAAAGTGGATGAAATGATTGACTCGCAAGCAATATTCTCAATTGAAACACAAAGTCCACTAGTACAACAAAATCTTTTTATGTGGACATATGTGATTAGCTTTTGGCTTGTCATATAGGTAGCTTACCAAGGGTAAGACTCCATAATGGTTAAGTATTATCAATTTGACTTTAGTTGTATCTGTATACCCAGAATAACTTTACTATTAAAGGACTGACAAGATTATTTCAGACGTTTTCATCAATGTAGATCACCATATAATATATTTGGTTACAAGATCTGGATTAGTATTAAATGAGGTACCATAGCTACTTCTGCCCATTAAGAAACCCAGGCTATGTTGTAGGAAAAACCTAATTCAAGTTTACTGTGTGAATTCTGGTATAAATATTTTTAATTTGTTACCTCAAATCATAGCTGTTGCTTATTTCACCAATGCTTTGGTTGCTTTTATTCTTGTTGAGTGTAACGCTAATGTGTAGAGATCAGTCTTCATTGTGCTAGCTGCTCAGGTTTGTGCTGTGCTTCGCAGAATTCAGAAAAGTCTCTAGACGTTCACAGACAAGTGAGCAGGCAAGATTAATAGACAAAACAATGGGGATATAGTGTAGATATTTTCTCTATTTTGCAGTTAAGAGAATTAGAAGCAATACATTTAGAAAGAGAGATAGATACCTTCTGATAAAGTGGTCTAAGGTCTATTTGAGTCAAGTAAAAGTCAAACAATATAATAACATTTTAAGCTTTTCTTTTTAGACTTCATTTTTTAGAGCAGTTTTAGGTTCACAGCAAAACTAAGAGAAAGGTATAGATTTCCCACATACCTCCTACCCCTTCAGATCATGAATAGTTTCCCCTGTTGTCAACATCCCCAACCAGAGTAATACAAGTACTACAATTGATGAACCTATATTGATACATCATAACCATCAAGAGTCCATAGTTTATATGAGGGTTCACTCTTGATGGTGTATATTCTTTGGGTTTGGACAAATATATGATGACATATCTATCATTATAATATCATACAGAGTAGCTTTACTGAGCTAAAAATCTTCTGTGCTCTGCCTATCCATCTATTTTATCCCTCCCATTCCTCTTACCCCTGGCAACAACTGATCCTTTCACTATCTCCATAAATTTGCCTTTTCAAAAATGTTATGTAGTTGTAATCATACAGTATGTAGCCTTTTCAGATGGGCTTTTTTCTCATAGTAACGTGCATTTTAAGTTCCTCCATATCTTGTCTTTCCATGGGTTACTAGCTCATTTCTAGGCAACAGAATGAGACCATATCTCTACAAAAAAAAATCAGTTAACTATATTTATGTTGGTTCATTTGTGGGCTATCTATTTTATTCCATTGATCTATGTGTCTATTCTTTAGCCAATACCACACTGTCTTGATTACTAGCTTTATAATGAATTAGTTTTGAAGTAAGGTAGTGTTGGACCTCAAACTTTGTTCTTCTCGTTCAACATTGTGTTGGCTATTCTGGGTCTTTTGCCTCTCCATATAGACTTTAATAACTTGCTAGGATTTTTATTGGGATTGCATTAAATCTATAGATCACATTTGGAAGAACTGACATCTTGACAATGTTGAGTCTTCTTACCCATGAACATGGAATATATCTCCATTTATTTAGTTCTCCTTTCATTTTGTTTATCAGAGTATTATCATTTTCCTCATATAGATCTTATACATACTTTGTTAGATTCCTAAGTATTTTATTTTGGAGGGCGATAATATAAATGGTATTTTGTGTTTAATTTCAAATTCCATTTGTTCACTACTGTTATAAAGGAAAGCAATTGACTTTTGTATATTAACCTTGTATCCTGCAACCTTGCTGTGATCACTTATTAGTTCCGGGAGATTTTTTTTTTTTTGGTGAGTTCTTTCAGATTTTCTATATAAATAATCATGTGAACAAATACAGTTCTATTTCTTCCTTCCTGTATGCTTTGTGTTTCAGTTTCTTATCCTATTGCATTAGGTAGGATGTTGAAAAGGAGTGGTGACTGGGTACATCCTGACCTTGTTGCTCATCTTAGTAAAGAAGTATCTAGTTTCTCACTATAAAATATGATGTTAGCTGTAGATTTTTTGCAGCTATTCTTTATTATGATGAGGAAGTTCTCCTCTACTCCTAGTATGCTGAGAGTTTTTATCAGGAATGGGTGTTGGATTTTGTCAGATACTTTTTCTACATCTATTTATATAATCATGTGATTTTTGTTTCTTAGCCTATTGGTTTTTGAATGTCAAATCAGAATTACATACCTGGGATAAATTCCACTTGGTTGTGTTGCATAATTCTTTTTATACCTTGATGGATTCCATTTGCTAATGTTTTGTAGAGGGTTTTGGCATCTATGTTCATGAGAGATATTGTTGTATAGTTTTTTGTTTTTGTTTTTCTTTTTTTCTTGCAGTGTCTTTGTCTGGTTTTTGTATTGGGGTAATGCTGGCCTCACAGAATGAGTTAGTAAGTCTCCCATCTCTTTCTATCTTCTGAAAGAGATTCTAGAGAATTAGTATGATTTCTTCCTTGAGTGTTAGGGAGAATTCACCAGTAAGCTCATCTGGGCCTGGTTTTTTCTGGGGCTGGAGTGTTCTGGTTTTATAAGTTGATTAATTATTGGTTTAATTTATTTAATAAGTATAAGCCTATTTAGATTGTTTCTTGTTTTTAATGTTTTCAGTGTCATTAATTTCAGCTCCAATTTTTATTATTTATTTTCTTTTGCTTAGTTTGGATTTAATTTGCTCTTCTTTCTGGCTTCCTAAAATAGAAACTTAAATTATTGATTTTAGATCTTTCTTTTCTAATATATGCATTCAATGTTATATTCAGTGTATTTTTAAATTCTAGCTTGAACAGTTACTAGTTATGTGAGCTTGGCTTAGTTCTTTTTTTAACAGCTTTATTGAGAGTCACATATCATATAATTTACCCATTTAAAATGTACAATCCAATGATTTTTAGTATGTTCACAGAGCTGTAAAACCATCATCACAATCAATTTTAGAACATTTTCATCATCCAATAAAGAAACTCCACAACTGTTAGTAGTAATTCCCCATTTGTCTTCCCTCTCCCTGTCTTCTCCCATCCACCCTCAGCCCCAGGCAATTGCTTTTTCTAGTTTTTTTTTTTTTTTTTCCTATATGTTTCTATTCTGGACAATTTTTTTTTTAAATGTTTTCTCTTTTTATCTAACTGTGATTATATATCCTTTCAAAAGCATCTCCCCATCCACCCTCTCCCCTAGCCACCCCAAGAATTTGGTAACCACCATTCTAACTCTCTCCTTCTTTGAGATCAGCTTTTTTAGATTCCTTATGTGAGTGAGTTCATATAGTATTTGTCTTTATGTACCTGACTTATTTCACTTAACATATTGTTCTTCCAGTTCATCCATGTTGTCACAAATAAAAGGACTTCACTCATTTTTATTGCTCAATAGTATTTCATTGTGTGTATACACTACATTTTATCTATTTATCTCTTGATAGGCACTTCCATTGATTTCCTATTTTGGCTATTGTGAACAGTGCTATAATAAACATGAGAGTGCAAATTCTTGTTGACATACTGATTTTAGGTCCTTTGGAAAAATATCCAGGAGTGGGGTTGCTAGATTATATAGTAGTTCTATTTTTAATATTTGAGGAACTTCCATACTGTTTTCCATAGGGGTTGTACTAATTTACATTCCCACCAACAGTGTGTGAGTTCCCTTTTCCCCATATCCTTACCAAAACTTATTATCTTTTGTCATTTTGATATTAGCCATTATCTTAACAGGTATGAAGCGATATCTCATTGTGGTTTTGATTTGCATTTCCCAGATGATTAGTGATGTTGAGCAGTTTTTCATATACCTATTGGCCATTTGTATGTCTTTTGAGAAGTGTCTGTTTAGGTCTTCTGCCAATTTTTTAAAGGTATTTCCCTTCTCTCAAGCAGAATGTTAGATTGTTTTTCTTCTTCCACATAGAAGGCTATTACCAGAGTTGGGTATTTTCCTTCCCCAGGTCAGTTATGCTCTGCTAATACCTCAGCAGGTTAAGTTATAGTTATATGAATTTCTGCTGCGGGACAGGCCTTGTTGAGAAAAGCAGAGTGCTGACATATTTCAAAATAGTTCTGGTTTCCCTCCCCCTACCAGAAGAATGAGGAGATTTTTCTCCAATATTTTACTGTGACAACTTGGTTGAGATCATGGTGGTAAAACTCACAGAAGTGCTGAGGCCCCTGAAGACTGGGTCTTCCTGGATTTTAGCTCTCAGACTGGCCCACATAGAGCCTCCAGCAATTCACCAAGGACAGCACAGGTTTTCCTGTCCCATTTCTGCTCAGGAGTTTCTTTTCTCCTAAGCCATGAGTTCTGTATCCATCTGCTGTTCTGTCTGTCTTGATTGAGTTATTGATTTTTCGGTCAGTTCACCTTTTTATTTGGTAGGGCAGAGTAGTGACTTCAAGATTTTCATGTGTAGAACTGAAAACCAAAAGACCCCAGAGTTTTTGTTTTGTCAGCAAACTCAAAGAACTTAAATATGCTTTCTTTTTCTCTTTGAGATTTCTTACAGCATTAAAAATAGTAGGATTTATTGACTATATATCTTCTGATGGAAAATATTAAGGAATTTAATGCCTTAAGAAATGTAGTTAAAAACATATGTGTGTGAGGTGACTCTCATGCCTGGCAAATTTTAAGTGGAAATCATTATCTTTAACATGGAAAAAGTATGTTTTTTCTGAGTTTAGTATAGGATGAGGTCTCCCTTCAGTTTTATTTCCCAGGTGTTTGAGAATTCCCTTATTTTGTTTGTTGGTGTTTTTCTCTTTCAATTATATTTTCCTAGGGCACACTGGAATAATAACAGAAAAGATATTCTATAGTTTCTCTTAAGGAATGTGAAGAAACAGTTACAGTAATCTTGTACATTAGCCAGTAGAGTTCAGTTAGCAGGAATAGCAACTCATTCAACAGTTTCTGAGATCAAAAATCACACTGGTAATTTTTTGTCTTATAGTTTTTCACAAGATACACTATAGCCACAAAAAATGGACGTGAAATATTTGCTAGATGCACAGAAATGTAGGTCACAAATGATTAATAAGTCATACTGTGTGAAAAGCATTGAAAGGCATGAATAATGTTTCAAAAGCTTTTGTCCTCACAGTAAGACACAGTTTGTATGTGAAACAGTCCTGCAGAGAGTGCCTTGGCCTTTAAGAAATGAAAAAAAGAGGATTCTTATTCACAAATAGTTTGTATGCTATAAACTTTAGTTGCCAATAGTTTTCAATTTATATGTATTCATTACAGATTAAGTTGCAGATTAAATTTATTCTGTTTTAAATTTTGTTCTGCTTCAGGACAGAACAAATGTAATACATGAAAGAGTTCAGACAATTTCCTTAGAAACAAAAGCCAAATCCTAAGTAAGAGATTTTTCTAATAACTCTGTGGGGTAGTTTAATTGTGCCAGATTCCAGAGGAACACTTGCCTTCATGTTTTAATCTAGGAATAAAGATTGACAACCCTTTTGTATAAAACATTGTATCTAGGAGTGAGACAGGGAAGAATGTTGATAATTTCCAAAACTCCAACTGTTGAGAAATAGACAGAAAATGGAAAAACGAGAACAACCTAAAGTAGGTTGACTATGTTAAGATTGATTTTAATTTTCCTCTAAAAACATCTAAGGGGTTAATTTAATGGATTCAGTGAATTTCTAACATAAAACTGGAAAGCAATTTTTTAACTTCATAAATTGTTTTTCATTGAATAGGGGGTGAAAACCATTTTGCAATAATTGAAATTTAGTTGAAATATACCCATATGTTAAATAAATAATTTTTTATCGTTAACAAAGATTGAAAACAAAATTTCTATTTTGAGATACTTCTTAAGTAACACAGAGGAGAAAGATACTTACTCCATTTTTCAAGTAGTCATTAAGCACTTTTTAATGTGTCTATTACTAAAACCATGACAACTAATGAGTCAAATGTTTATGTTACTTTTTTTTTTTACATAGATGGAATTAGACACGACATTAAGTGACTTGGAGGCTGCAGATTTTGCAGAACTGGTAAGAGGAGTGAATTTTAGGAAAGGCTCAATGTTGAATTCTTATTTTGTACATCAGTCATTATATTAAATATTTACCAAGCGGGCATATGATAATCTTGAAATATGCAACATTAGGCCTGTGTTTTGACACTGACAAAATCTATCTTGCTTCCCTTAAGATTTTCTGCTTAAGTTGAAATATTTGTTACACATGTATATTATGGTATTAAAAAATGATAATTACAATGGTATCATTAAGAATTGGGCTTTTTGAAGAAAAGAACTATAGATGTAATATTGATTAAATAAGAACCCCTGTAGGTCTGAATTTAAATTGGAAATATCAGTACAGTTTTTAATCTTTTAAAATATTATATTTCCTAGCTCTGGCCCATGAAAAGGCCTACAAATAGTGACTATCTCAGCAGTGATAAGCACCACTAACACCCAGGCTATTGTGTATAAATAACATTTCTCACCAAAGGAATCAGGACTCCTCAAGAAATGGCTCATTCCAGATTTGGGGCTGAAAATGTACAAGATAAGTCTCAGAACATCTTGTCATATCAGAAATATAGGAATCTTAAAAAATTACGAGAGTTATAGTAGGGCTCAAGTTGTCTTAGGCTCTCTCTTGGGCATCTATAATGATAATAACTATAACAGTAAAACATGTCAGATAAGTTTAACTCCATGAGTTTATAATGATGCTAAAGAAAGAAACTGGTCAGCTTTGGAAAATGCTAGGGAACCATCTCATTTTTGTAAAAACTGGTAAGTGAGGAAGAATCAAACTTTCTTGTCTGAACCATATGTCAAGGTTACCAAACAGAGATGGGGGGAGTTTCTCTTTATGGAAGTAGTCTACCTGATGTATCAAGAAAGACTGACAGAATTGGAATATTACCATTTTGCAGTCCCTCAATGAATTGATGGATCTTGGCAATGGTCATCAGTAATTGTTAATATCACAAAAAGAAACACAGCCAGATAGTTTGTGGTTCCTGATGGAAGCACACAAACCACCTATGAAATATGCTTGATGAGGCCTCAATATCTAACTATTAATTTATACAAAATACCATCAAAAAGGGGGCATGTTAAATAACCCCATTTGGGGGAGAGGGGTTGCAATCAACAAAATCCAGACTGGGCAACACTACAGGACAGTTTCTTCAACAAATAAATTAGAAAAGGGCAGCGGGGTCGGGCTGAGGGAGAAGGGAGAAAAGTTGAGAGAGAACCTAGAAGTTACAAGAGACTTAACAGATCAACCAAGTGTAATGTATGGCCCTTCTTGGATCCTGATTTAAACAAACTTTTAAAAAGCATCTATGAGACAATCAAGAAAATGTAAATGCTAATGACTGGATATTAGATGAGAATAATTCTTTAGATGTGGTAATGGTATTATGTTTTTTTTAAAAAAAGATATCTACTGTTTCAGAGATACATTCTGAAGTATTTACAGATGAAGTGATACAATATCTGGGATTGGTTCTGAAATAATTCAGCAGGGGCAGGAAGAAGGAGAGAAGGACATAGATGAAACAAGATGGTCATAGTTAAATGGGTGATGATGGGTACATAGAAGCTAATTGTACTATTCCTTTTTTGTATATGCTACAATTTTCAGTTTTAGATAAAAGTTCTTTTAAAAAGTAAATGGGAAGTGAGGAAGTAGAAGCCAAAAGCATTGGGTCATTGTCAAGAAGTTTGCTGGTAAAAGTGGAAAGAATGCTAGCTTGAAGAGGACGTTGAGTCTTAACTAAGACCCTGAGCAAATGGAAGGGGGGTTTGTTAGTAAGAATATTGGAAATTTAAGCATGGTGAATTTTTCATAGTTCATAATTTTTTCACTGATGGAGAATGTGTAGATGGATACTAATCAGTAGGAGAGTTTGGATGTAAAGTATTAAAATATCTGGTTTTTGGAACTTACATCCAATAGGTTTAATTAAAATGTAATTCCTGCCTTCATAGAATATTATTTTAATGATCAGTGGAGCTAACAATATTTTCTATGTTTAGAAAAGGATCTATTGGGATTCCTTAGATCCAATGTCAAAAATACAATCCATGAAAGAAAAAAAATTGATAAATTGAGAATGTAAAATGGTACAACACTTTGGAAAATAACTTGGCAGTTTCTTAATAACCTAAACGTATGCCTACCATATGGTTCAGCCATTCTATAGCCATCTGTTTACCTAAAAGAAATTAAAGCATATGTATTACAAAGACCTGTACACAAAGTAGCTTTATCTGTAATAGCCAAAAACTAGAAATAACTCAAATGTCTATCAACAGGTGAATAGACAAATTGTGGTATTATATCTAGGCAATGAGATAGAAAAAAAATTGGGGGAGGGTAAGTATTGACGGAACTGTTCTACATCCTGATTTTAATGGCACTTACACAGCTGTATGCTTTTGTCAAGACTCACAGAACAGTTCACAGTGAATTTTATATTTAAAAAATGAAAGTAAGGACCTATTCTAAACTTTTTATGAAATCAGATTTAAGATTTGATCTTCTAGTCTAACTTTGTATTCTTTTGTGTAGTTTTTTTAAAAATTATTGTTAAGGTATAATTTACATTAAGTAAATTCTTCTGTGCCCGTTTATAGTCAACCCCTCTTTTTCCCCCAATACCTGGCAATCACTGATCTGTTTTCTGTCCCCAAGATTTTATTTTTTCTAGGATGTCATATAAAGTGAATCATTCAGTAGATAATTTTTGTGTCTGACTTCTTTCAGTTAGTATAATGGATTTGAGATTCATTCATGTTGTATCAGCACTTCAATTCTTAATATTGCTGAGTATTGCTGAGTAGTCCATTATATGGATGTATCACAATTTGTTTATCCATTCACCAATTGAAGGATATTTAGGTTATTTCCAGTTTTTAGTTTTTGTTAGGTTTCTTTGTTTTTTTAAAAAAATAATAATAGTAATACATGCCTATAGAGTAAAGATGCAAGCATAATTAATTATTAAGAGCAAAATGTCCTTCCTCATCCCTCTCACCATTTCCATCCCTAGGTATAACTACTCTTATAGTTACATTCCCACACAAAAACCAACACACATGTATATAATTGGAGGGGGCATTTTAAACAAAAATTAGATCATAGTGTGTAGTTTGTGCTGCAGCTTTCATTCTTTGCTTAGAATGCAAGTCTTAGAACAAAAACTTTTATGCCTGTTCATATAGATCAATCTTATTTTTTTTTAACATCTGTATGAGATTCTGTGGTATAACATATCTACTTTAGTTGACCATTCCTCCATTGTTGAACTTCACATTATCTCTGGTTTTTCTGTTACAAATCATTCTAAAAAGTCTTAATTCCATTGATTGAGCATTTCCATAGATTTCTAAAAGTGGAATTACTCCAAAAGGAGGGTATGTGTATTTAGTTTTTTTTACATACCACTCAGTTGCCTGCAAATAGGCTACACCAACTTGTGCTTTCAAAAGTAGTATATGGTAGTATTAGATATTTTCGATGGTATACAGTAGAAGTTTTTTGTCTTAAAAGACTTGTTTTCAGAAATCCCTCATGGAGTAACAAATTTTATGTTCTATTCTTAGATGTCTCTAATCAACAGTGTCTTATAAGAATCAAAAATAAGGTTGTTCTCAGTCAAATAAATATATAAGCATATTATATTTCACCCTAATACTCTACTATATTGATTTCTAAAGAAGGGACTGTGAAGTTTAGTTACTAAAGTATTTCATTTCCATTTTAACTATTATAGCTTAAGTGAGGTTTTTTTATTACAAAAAAACAAATATGTAAAACTGCTGTGAATTTTTTCCCAGTCTGAGGATTACTATGACATGAGGCGGCTATATACAATTTTGGGGTCTTCTCTATTTTACAAGGTAAGTTGAAGCTTGAAATCTTTACAGATGTCCAACTGCTATATAAACAGACTTAAAGTAAAGTTTGTCAAACTTTTACAAACATGAAAAGTACATTTATCTCTTTTCCTCTGAATGTAAATACTATAAGATTAAGATCTTAAAACAAGACTTATACTTACATATTTATCATTATGGTAAATATTTACAGTCTTATTGCATTCTACAGTGTCTTTAAATGTGTAAAGGAGAAACAATACTGAAACAACCAAGTGTGTAAGAGAGAAGAGCAATACTTCCTTGATTTCGTTTTGCAATAGTATGTTTTTTTATCCTATCTTCAGATGTAACCATGCATCTTTTTGTAAATCTTTTAACGTTTAGTTGACTTCCATGTAAGGCAAATTAAACATCAAATGATTTATAAGTATTTTTTATTTTTAAAAATAAGATCCTTAAACACCATATAAAACACATCTAACAAAGAATCAGACAGTACAGAATGGTACACAGTGAAAAGTCAGTCTCTCCCTTCCCTGACCCCTACTTCTTCACTTTCCATCCTCAGAATTCACTTCTTTTCTAATTTTGCTGACCTCTCAACCTATTCACACAAAAGTGGTCTTGCTTTGTGCTTAAGTCTACCTGTTTTGTCCCTGAAGTTATCATTCAATCTCTAGTTTGACTTAAGGAAAATTTTTGCTACATCTTCATTTATCCCATTTGAAACTAGAATATTTTAAGCCAGTTGAAGAAGTGTTTATAAAACTCTTAGAAATATATTATGAGATTATTGCTTTGTACCACTAGTTGACTTTTGCTCTTTGTGGTTAAATTCAAGGGTTATTTGATATGCAGCCATTTGCCTAAGGATGATCTTATTGATATTGCTGTATACTGTCGCCACTATTGCCTGCTGCCTTTGGCAGCAAAACAACGAATTGGTCAATTGATAATATGGAGAGAAGTGTTTCCTCAGTCTCACCTCCAACCTTCTGCAGACTCAAACACTGAAGTCTTTCAGGAACCTGAAGGGAGATATTTTTTGTTAATTGTTGGCTTGGTAAGTTTACCTTGGCTTCTTGGGATTTTTCTTTCTTTTTCTTTTTTTGGCATCTATTGACTATCTAAATAAATACACAAACAAATATGCTCATTTAAAATTATGAGTATGTCTAATACCAGTATTCAAGAACATATTATATGCCCCTTTACTCCTTTTCTTTTGCATTCACTTAATACTCATGTAGGAATATTAATAAAATCTAGGAAAAGATTTTAGCAAGTTCTTAAGATCTTTTGTTCTCTTTTCTATAGTGGTTTTATCTTTTGGCTTGTTTTGGAAAATAGAGGGAGACATGAAAAGAATATAGAATCAGGATCAGAATAAATATGTAATTGTAAATGAAAGGACTTCCACTAATTAAGGCTTTTGATAGCTATCTTAGTTAGGGAATTCCATGCACCAAGAGAAGTGGTTGATGGTGTATATCAAGATAAGGCAATGTGAGATTGTTTTCAACTGGGATTAAAAAGCATTGATAGTAACCGAGAAGGAAAGGGGTGAGAGGAATTTTTAATAATCATCACATAATTATGCCATATCCCCACATGTTTTTAGTATTCATAAACTTATACATATATATTATATGTAAATATTTTAATGGTAGCTAAACCTATATTAAAACTATTTTTCTTATAGAGACATTACTTGTTATGTGTACTGTTAGAAGCTGGAGGCTGCGCATCCAAAGCTATTGGGAATCCTGGACCAGACTGTATATATGTGGATCAGGTCAAAACAACTCTTCACCAGCTGGAGGGAATAGATTCTCGCATAGATGAACGGCTAGCATCTCCTCCAAGCCCCTGTTTGTCTTGTGCTGACTGGTTCCTTGCTGGATCACGTGAAAAAATAGACAGTTTGACCACTTCACCTATTCTTAGTAGGCTACAAGGTACTAAAGTAGCAACCTCCCCAACATGCAGAAGAACCCTTTTTGGTGACTATTCCTTAAAGACACGTAGGCCCAGTCCTTCCCGAAGCGGTGGAGGATCTGACAATGGTTGTGAAGGTGGAGAAGGTGTTGGCCTTACCCTCCATACTACACCAGATGCAGTACAGAAGCAAAGAGAATCTCAGGGTGCTGATGGTTCAGAAGAAAGTGGGGCCTTGCTTAAGGTGTGTGTTCATTCAAGTGTGTATATTCTGGGAGCTAAACTGTCTCTCTAGTCCTTATTTTATAATTGTAAGAAAATGTATCATTCCTTATTTGAAATGGTGGTTGTTTCAGTCACTGTTGATAAATCAGTTATTTAGAACCCAAAAGAAAAAGAAATATCAAGTAATAAGACAGGAGCCCCTTGACATTCAGGATATCTGTTTAATAGTACTTACAGATAGGGAAACTCTTTAACCTTACTTTCCATGTTTATTTCTCTTCTTTCTCTATTTACAATGATATCAGAGAACATCCTAGCTGTGGGGAATTTGCGGGCTGATCTGACTAAATAGCCAATAAAATGTTCTGCAGAAACATAAAGAAAGTCAGAAACTTAAATGTATTTGTGTGTGTGTGTGTGTGTGTGTGTGTGTTCCTATTTTTTTATAGATAAGGTGTTGGTTATTTTTATTTGCATCTGTGAAGTTCTGATGTCCATACTCAAAGATTCAAAATGTAATTATAAAGAAAAGAGGATGTTCATTTATCAGATTACTTATCATTTTTCTTGATTATTTTCCATGAAAATACCATAAAATATCCAAATGATTATCAAAGTAATTGCTCTGGGAGGCTTTGTACTTACTCTAGTGATGTTGTTTTTCAAAACATTTTGAAACTTGTCATTTGGATGGATGGAGATGATGTCAGGCGAGGCATGAAAGAAGAGGAATCTGAGAAAGGGCATAAATAAAATATGAGATTCTAAGTGGTGTGGTATAAATAACCATAGATTCAATCTCCTCCTTCCAAACAATAGAATATTCTTGGAGCCATAAGTGGAATGTAGTTAGGAAGTACTCACATCAGTGCTGTACCCATTATCCCAGTCAGTGAAATTGATAGAAAATATAGTCAAAGAGGATTTGGATAGATTTAAGAATTACAAAGCCATGAACAACTCCCAAGAGAAATTGAGTTAACCTTTAAGATTCAACCATTCAACAAACACCCACTAAGTGCCAAGGGCTGTGTTACACAAAGGAAATACAGAGATAAATAAGGCACAGCCCCTGACTTTGAGGACTTCAGAGTCTAGAGAGGGAGACAATGATGGCTCTGGTAGGAGGTTTTCAGGAATACCATCATGCCCTTCCATGACATAGCTCTGGGATGCCTGTTAGCAAAGGATAAGCCAAGAAGTACAAGTTAGCATTGAAAACATTTAAAAGAAACATTGCAAAATAGTAAATAGTTCTTAGAAGAATTTTTAGTTTTTTAAATTATTTCTGCTGTTTCTTAAATATAAACTTTAACTGCATTTTACAGGTCACTAAAAAGAAGTCTACTCTTCCAAATCCATTTCATTTGGGAAATTTGAAAAAAGACCTTCCAGAAAAAGAATTGGAAATATATAACACAATGAAGTAAGAAATTTCCTTATAATATTCTTTTTCACTTAAACTCTGTCTTTGGGGAAGTTTTATAATGAGAAAGTATAATTCCATAACATATAGAGATTTTATTCAACAAATGGAATTATCATGTATCTTACATATCAACAGTAATATCTATGATATTTCTGTAATATTTCATTACACATTTAGGAAAACGACCATATTAGTATTATAAGAGATAAAAACACAGTAATATTTCAAACTGTGAAAGTCCCCCTTTATCTCTTCCATAGGTAACCGCCCTTTTGAATGTCTAATATAATTTTTAAATTATAAAATTTAAAAATTTTAATTAAAATTTAAATTAAATTAAAAGTTACTATTTTTAGACTCTGGTGGATGCAGTGATATGCTGCCCAGTTACCCTTTAGCCCAGCACTTGGGAGCGATGGCTGCTAATGCCACACAGCTGCGTCCTTCCCCTGGCTATGTCCTCCATGGAAGTTTGTCTCTGCTAAAGTTACACTCCTCTCTGGGAGTAGCCACTTCTAATGACTAATAGATAAGTGAATACAAAGGCTTGGCCCCTTGCCTAAATTCAATATGCTTCTGAAAGGCCATGGAAGTTTCAGAGTTTCCAGTGGTGTCCACTGAACCTCCGTTGCAACTGCAGCACAGTTCAGCTTCTCTCTCCACTCCAGCCTGCTTCAGTCACACCGCCCCCCACAGCTGTTCGCCCCAAGAGTGCTCCCTAATAAACTTCCTCTCTGCCTATCTCCCTTTCAGAGTTTGGGTCCCAGGGAACTGGTCCTATAACACCCTCTTTAGGAAACAGGTGAGGCCTCAAACTTACATTGAGTAGGGAATTCTGAAGTGAAAGGAACCGAGTGTGGAGAGAATGTTTATCAGCTTAAATTGTCTGTAATTATTACACCATGAAATGCTGTGTATTCCCTTCTTATGTAATTATTATATGGTGACAAGCAGATCTGCCTGAGCCTTGTCTGGTATTTAATTATGATGTCATGTGTGGGAGCCACTGGTATAATAAATTCAATTGCATACTTTCATTAATAATTTGAACAACTAGACACGTACAAATAGAATTCACACACACACACAAAGAAGTGTAAAGCTACCACCTACTTGATCATTGAAACATTTTACAAGTTCAAATATATATGTCACAGAGTTGTAAGGAAATTCTTTTTTCTCAAGTCAGGGCAAAAATAAGGTCACTTATCTGCATAAAATATTGGAAATATAATATGTTAAAATTTGGTATTTAATGCCTCCAAATACAAATTTTTAAATTTTAGTTAAAAATGGTTTTTAAACAAATAAATCAGAACAAAACCTTTTATGAAACCCTAAAGGTACTTTCATGAAACCCTAGGTTTCTACTTAACAAAAACTACTGCTCTGAAATTTTATTACCTCATATCAGATTTTTTATGTATGTTATTTTGGCATTATCTCTAGTAAAAGGAAACTCTTTTTTCAAGTTCAATGGCTTAAGTATAAATTCACATGTGGTTTATATCGTAGGCTCTCCTATTTTAAAAAATGCTCAAGATGTATGTTTATTCTCATTATTGACATGAAAAGGTGCTTTCATACTATATAGTTTATTTTAAAAGCATGGTATAAAACAGGATAAACATATTATCCTAATTTATATGTACATCTTTTTGTAAAGTCAAAATATATATTAAAAACAACACACATAAAACATTTCATTCAGTAACCAAATCCTATCCATTCTGCATTCCAATCTTTCATGTATTCATTCAGCTCCTATTGATACTAGCTTAGTTCAAGCTTCCATTTTTCTTTCACCTGGTGTAATTACTGCAGCCTCCCATCTCCCAGTCTACCCCGAATCCATTCTCTACTGCAAGAGTAACCTTATTGAAGAACATATCTGACTTTATCTGCTTTTTTGTACAAATCTTCTGTCTGCCTACTGAGTAATTGCTTATTTAGTGATTTTTTAACTTTGAGTTAATACACACTGAATGAGTTTATGGTTTTTCAAAAGCTAATCTTGCTTGTGTTTTATTTTTGAGAGAAAATTTTACAAAATAATGAAAATGTAATTCTAAACCCCTTCTTAAGGAAACTTATTAATAGTTCTTTTGTAAAGAATAATTTCTGTTTTGTACCTTTTCCTGAATCTGAAGACCTCCAGATTAAAATATATGTTTTAAATTATCTTCCTTTTCGAATAACCATAATTCCTTTCATCTTAAGTTTTTATTTTTAGAAAGATATCAGCTACCAGTTATTAATGAGCCAGCTACCCTATGGAAAAGTGAGAGAAGAATTCATAGATGATCTCTTTCCCTCTCTGTTCCTGATCTCAAAAGAGAACACAAGGCCATAAATCAGTGATAAGAAGTTTATTTGGATCATGTTGTCTAATTAACAGTTTAACGGGAATTTAATCAGCATGGATGATTTAGGCAGTGTGTAAGTTAAGACAGTACAGACAGTCTTTATCATAGAAGGATTAGAATGGTGCAGCTTCAGTGTATGAGATGCTGGTGGGGAATTTTTGTCCATATATTTAAAGGCTGCCAATCAGAAGAGAGAAAAAAGCAAGATATTGTAGAGCAAGCTTCAGAGTCAGCTAGACTCTGCCACTTGGCTATGTGACCTCTCAAGCAAGTTAATCCATATCTTCTGAACACTGATTTTCTCATGGTTAAAATGAGGATAATAATAGTTAATATCTTACAAAGTCATTATGAGAATGAAGACTAAGATATTTTAAAGCACCTACCCTGGAACATAGAGGGCATTCAGTATATGGTAACTATTATTATTATCTTGTTGTTGCTGTTTCTGTTGTTCTTTAGCTCTCCTTACTACTGGTAGAAATTAACAGTATTTAAAGGTTCTACTGGCCCATCTGAGATTAAATAGAGGAGGAAAGGATGGGGAGTAAAGTAAAAATGAAAATATTAGGAGAACACAGGAGAAAAGGAAAATTGTAATGATGAGAGGTAGTAGCATACTACCAGTAATTGCCATGGTATTATAAAATATTAATCCAACTTTGCAGTTGGTATTAGTAATTTTATTTTTCTTTAGAATCATCAGTTTGATTATGATGGTAAAAGACATTAATGCTACTAAAACTTAAATGTGTTTAGTTTGTTGGAAGTTATTTTTATATATGATCCATACTAGAGTGATACCTTGTTTATGGCTTGTAGTTATCTGGGCCAAACATGAGCTGAGTTATTCATTACCAACTGTGGAAAAAGAAGAGTTTAGCCAATTTGGGTTGTTTGGCAAAGAGATGATTAAGTTACTTGCAAATGAATTGGTGTTTATTTATCCTTACATAACATGTAGTATTTGTCTCCATTAAGGGAATTAGTAACTTTCACCTTAGCCTGTACTTCATTTAAGGACAAAGAGGGAATTAAATGTTTGGCCCAGTTCCCCATTCCTAATTGTACTGCTAATATTATATTCTAGATAAAAGATTGTAAAAAGTCTACAAAATTCAAAATGAAGCAATATTTTTAAATATACTTAATTTCTTTTGTCTTCTCTTTCTGTTTTTTTTTTTTTTTTTTTCTTTTTCAAGATTGACATCTGGTCCTGAGAATACACTTTTCCACTATGTTGCCTTGGAAACAGTGCAAGGAATCTTTATTACTCCTACCCATGAAGAGGTGGCACAGCTAAGTGGCTCTGTTCACCCTCAGCTAATAAAGAATTTCCATCAATGTTGTCTTTCCATTCGTTCAGTGTTCCAACAGACATTGAAGGACGAGGTAAGGCACTGCTGTAAAAATAGTTTTCTGTCAACTTAATATCCATATCTCTGAGCATTCTCTCTACTCCGTAATCAGTATGTCCAGCAATGCCTTTGTCTAATTAGGTTTTTTTTTTTTTTATGTTCACCCAATCTAACTTGAGTGCCAAAAGAATTATACTCACAGTAGTTCAAAGCTTTTTTTCATAATATTGAATTCGATGTCCTTAATTACTATTTCAGGAAATGGGGGACCTGTATTTTCTATAGAAAAGTAGAGTAGGGTAGTTTGCAGTGTAAATTAACCCCCTACATTTGATTTCTAATGACTCAACAATTGCTTAGTCAATAATATCTACCAATTGGTTCCTAAAGTAACTCTGATAATTCTTTAAGTGTAAATCAACAGTCAACTGTGTAAGGTATTTTGGAACATAATGGGTTATGGTACAGCTATAGACACATGCTATTTCAAATGTTTTAGGACTTGGTTGCTTGTTTTCAACTCAAGATGATGTTTTATTTAATACTGCTTATCTGCTAGATAAGTAGTAATGCTGTATATAATTACAATATCAATTAGACTGTTTTAATGGCAGGAAAAGATATATTTTGATGTCTTAAAAAGGATAAACTTACAGAGGCTTACTTGTGACATCATATAACCAAAAAACTCTCCAAAAATTGTTATAATATATATAGCAATACATGTGTTAAGGATCCCAAATTTGGGAAGAACTTGGGTTTAAAAGATTGGGCTGGAAAAAAAAAGATTGGGCCGGGAATAAAGAATCCTAGACTGAGCCTCAACTCTTCTTATTTCTTCAGCTCTAAAGTGAATGAGCTGAATTATGTCATCTGTCAGAGCTCATTCAGCAGTAAAATTCTGTCTTGTATAATTTCAAGTTCCCAGAAGTTGTTATCTGTAAAAATGTTATGTTTGACCATATATTCTTATGTGCTTTTGGTTCTTAACCGATAGATTCTATAAGGGAATATTTCATTAACTTATTTGATAATATTTAGTAATATAAATTAGTTTTCCCCATATTATTTAAACATTGAGGTAAGTATTCTGCACCAAATACTATTCTAGGAGTTGGGAATACAATGGTGGGCAAAAGAAGTCCCTTCTTTTATGAAGTTTGTTTTCTAATGGGGGAGACAAATGAATTAGTAAATAGTATGTCAGGAAAGATTAATGTCAAGCAGAATAATAAAACATGATAAGGATGAGAGATGGGAGTTACTATTTTAAAAGGTCTCTCTGATCATGTCAAGTAGTATTTGCACAGAGACCTGAATGAAGGGAGGAAGCACACCATGTAGCTCTCTGGAGGTAGAGCTTCCAGAAGACAGGAACAGCAAGTGTAAAACCACAGAGGTAGGAATGGCTGGGAGAGCACTGGAGTGGCCTGCGTAGGCAGGAAAGTGGAAGGAGATCAAATCACCAAGGTAGCAGGGCCAGAGCATGCATAGCCTAACAAAGTATGATAAAGACTTTGGGCTTTGTTTTGAAAGAGATGGAAAGTTCTTACACAGTTCTGAGCAGGGGAAGGTCATGATCCTTAATTTTTTTTAAAGGATCACTTGGGCTGCTATGGGAAGAGCAGGCTGTAGAATAGCAAGGATGGAGGTAGGGACCAGTTAGGCAATTGTTGTAATCTCAAAGCAATAAATGATTATGGCTTCTGGATTCAGGTTATATTTTAGAGAGTGAACCAAAATGATTTGTTGATTTATTGGGTAAGGGTTATGAGAGAAAGAGAAGAAGCAAAGACGACTCTACTCTTTTGGCCTGAGCCTTATAAAGTGTTTTTTTTGTTGTTGTTGTTGTTGTTTTGGTTTTTTATTTTGTTTTGTTTTTCCTTTTCTTTTTTATTATTTCAGCATATTATGGGGGTACAAATATTAAGGTTACATATATTACCCGTGCCCCCCTGTCATGGCCCATTTGCAGGACAGAGGATGAACACAGAACATAAAACACAAATGCGCAGAATACAAAGAAAAACACAGACACACGTACAAACAGTTGACTCGAGTAATAATACACCAGGTTAAAAAGAGAATCCCGCCGGGTTCCAGCCGAAGATCTTAGGGGTCACCTTAAGAGAAGCTGGGATGAGAAATGCCCCTGTGGTCACCTTGCCCATCCTTGCTAATCTTGGTCCTTTATCTATGCCTAGTGCCTAGAGCAACCACCTTGAGATTCTGAGTCAGAGTACGTCTGCTTCCCTAAGGCTATTCCGGAATTTATGGCCATTGTTGCAATGCCTGGGTGGTTATATACAAGGAACTAACTTTAATTACTATTTAGAGACAACATATAAAAGATTAAAATG